TGTTTCCGTAGGCATTCAGTGTGATGTGTGCTGTGGTAGACATGATGTTGTATGCGACAAATTCCACCGAGCTTGTGCCGGGCTCAGACATGTTGCCTCGGAGCAGCCATCAGATTATCCATGCCATGGCCAGCTTGTGATCAAAACAATCTTAACTTTTTTTGTTTGTTAAATGTTTCAATTTGCCTTAGCGAGGTTTAGCATGCTCAATTGTTTTTTGAAAAATCATTAAACTCAATATCCAACAGAATACCACACATACACACTCACATTTAAAAGAATTGGAAAAGAAAAAGTTTTTAAAAATTTGGGATTACTGAAAATATTAAGATTTCGAGCAAATTTTCCCCTCCTCATTCTTTGCTTTTGGCTCTTGAACGCGCAAGGAGTAGGGGAAATTTGTGTGAAATTGTTTTGCTCTTCTTTTCAATACATTGTTATAACTATTCCAGCCACGGTTACAAAGTTCTCTAGTGCTCACCTGGTAGAAGTGTGTAGGGATTGCCATAACTTTATCCCCTTCTTACTCGTTACAGTATTATTATTATTATTATTATTGTAAACATTCTAATTGTGGACATATTATTCTCATTATTGATTAACACTTTGTAGATTGTGCTGGTAATCTTGATGATATATTCAATATCAAAAGTAATCTAGGCATATATTCTTATTTTTGGTCTTATTTTTTTTGGTCATGTAACAGTTTCGAGTATTGCTGCACCCCCCCCCAATCTAACCTGGATGTTTGATTTTACTTGCCAAGGTAAAAATAAATATACATAAACACAACTTTTGGACTTTTCTTTGTTTGTTGTTTTTTTGAAAATGTGTGCGGTACATGAGTTGTAGAGGTTCCTTTGTTAAGATAAAGTAAAGACCCTGAATTATGGGGCTAGCAGCAACAGGTTGCTAGTATGGGCCATAATGGGATTTGCTCATTTTACTTTTGAAAAAAACTTTTCTTCCTTATTACCATTATCATATTTTGTCTCTTGCTAACTGTCTGTGGTGTAGTGGTTAGGTGCTATACTATGCTGTTTCATTCAAGAGACCTGAATTCGATTCCTGAGTGGAGAGAAAATTTTATCCGGTCTTTTTGCTGAGATTTTGTATCCCTCTCAGACCAGGTTGGCCTTGACACACTGACAGGCAAGGTTGGAAGCCTGCCTACTATATGATCTAAGTAAAAACACCTACACGATTTAGAGTTTTTGGGTTCCTCTCTGTTATCTTTCTGGCTTGTCAAGAACTTGAACACATGGTGAAAACATCTTGGAGCTATGGTTGTTCGGAAAATTTTATTGTTCACCATCGCTTCTCACCTTCCAAAAATAGAGATAGGTGTGAGGATGGAATGAGAGTCCCACTGGTTTGTCTTACTTCTTTACTGTTGTTCATCATCCTTTTTTTCCTGCTCTAATTGACCGTTGTTTTGTCACATTTTCTTTACATGAACTCAAAGAGATGGGTTTGCTATAATGTCACGTGTCTCACCTAATAACAAACTTTTTGTATTATTTGGAACTTATCAATATCATGTGGTACATGGGTGCTCTTGTGTGGTTTGTTTCTTCTTTCCTATCAAATATCTGTTGTCGTTATCTCTCCTCCTTTTTTGTGTTACTCCCTAGTAGCAATAACACCTTTAATTTTCGGCTCTTATGTGACCTAATTGTGTTGCAAGTGCCGTAAAACTCTTGCTTCTTCTTTCCTATCAAACATCTATTGTCCTTATCTCCCCTCCTTTTTTATGTTTGTTGTTACTCTCTCGTAACACCTAATCTTCAGGCGCCCATTTGACCTTATGCAGTTGCGAGTGTCGTAAAACCTCTACTAAAAGAAAAAAACTCTTACTAAAACTTCAAAATAAACCCAGTAGTTCTAATGATGTAGACTTAGTTCGCTCTGCCCAAGCCCACAAGGTCTAGCCTTTTAAAAATCTTTTTGAACATATTGCACTCAGAAAGGTGTTTTTTGTATACAATGATGACGCTCATACCTGCAAGTGGGCTGGTGGTGTAGAGAGCTGCTGGGGGTAGTGCCTGCTGGTGATGCCTGCCACTTTTCTGTCCCCCTGTCGATTCTGCCTATTAAGCCTGCCTTTACATTCAGTATACAATTTTTAAAAAAAGTTTTAGCAAGCCTTTTACAGCACTTACATACAACACATCAGGTCATATTAGCGACAAAGATTAGAGGTGTTATTAGAGAGTAACGAACAAAAAAGGAGGAGACATTTTTGAGGATGATAGATTTTTTTTATAGGAAAGAAGAAGCAAACCAAACCAGAGCACTCGCCAGCCTACCACCCACTAGCCTACAATGGACTCACCCTGATACAACATGATTGATTGATTCTTAATGTATGACACACCTATCAACACAATAGAATAGCATTAGGAGGTGGGCTGCTTCAACCTTATCTTCAAGCATCAACTCAGACTGTTGGAAACTCCCGGGGCGGTGCCACTGACTGAAGTGTCTTTAGGCCATTCCCAAAAGGGGGACATTTCTCGTTCTAATGCCCAGTAGAATTGTAAATGGGCTGATTCATCAATGTCATACTCATAACTATGCCTGAACTACAATAGGGAACTGCTGCTTTTTCTTTCCTAATCCTTACTATCGCCATTTTCCTCTACTTCTTTTGTGTTTGTGACTCGCTATTTCCGGGGTGCCTTGATAGTCGAAGCAGACTTTGAGCTGTTGAAGCTAGAGAGGTGAGCAGAGTAAGTCTGATTCCCTGTAAGGACTTCTCTGTTGACATGCACACCTTGACGCTCATATGACCCTATGCAGTTGCGAGAGCCGTAAAACCTCTACTGAAACAAACAAGACTGTGTGTTCGGGGGATTCGTGGCATAGAGGTTAAGGTGTTGGCCTCTCATTCAAAGGTCCCGGGTTAAAATCTGGGTAGCGACCTAAACATCTTTTCTGAAATGGTCTCCGTTCACCTCCTTTCCTGCTGCTCTCTAGCAATGTTCTGTCGTCTGCTTTCGTTCTGTCGCCTGCTTTCGTCTCTTCTTTCTGCCCCCACCTCTTCACCTCCTTTGCCCCCTCCTCTGAGCTCCTAACTCTTTCTGCAGCCTTTCTACTGCTACTCCTTGGCTCTTTCTTACTGCTGTCTTTCAGCCACACCCCTGATCTTCTAGTAGGAAAGATCTACACCTGGCGTTCTCGGAAAAGGGTGAAAAACCTTGGAGGGCACGTGTGCAAGTTGCGCACGTTAAAGATCCCTTGGTGGTCTAAAATCGATCAGAGTAGATTTTGGCCGTCACCCTGGCAAAATTCAAAATTTCCTACCAACTGAAAAAGTTTAATGTGAGCTGCACGTTCATATGACCTTATGCAATTGCCAGCGCTGTAAAACACCAAAATAAAAAAACGGCTGTGTGGCCGAATTCTCTGGTGTGGTTTGGACCTTCTTTTCTATCAAACATCTATCGTCATTGTGTCTCCTCCTTTTATGTGATTGTTATTCTCTTGTAACACCTCTAATCTTCAGCACTTTTTTTACCTAATTGCGTTGCAAGTGCCGTAAAACTTTACAAAAACAAAATACACCTGAAGGCAGGGTAATAAAAGAACTGCTCGCTTGTCTTATACACCAGAGCAGGAGAAATCTATAAGCTGTTCTTGACTTTCACCTAAAACCAGTTTTTGCTTTCACCAAGGCTTGGCGCTCATATGACCTTATGCAGTTGCGAGCGCCGTAAAACCCTCTACTATATATACAAGTATATATATTTCACCAAGGCCAGGACTAGGATATAAAAATATACTCACAGAAAAAAAGAAAGTGTTCATACTTTAAATAGCCACATATTAACTAATTAAAGGTTAACAGTCACCAAATTTTCCACTGAAGTTTATGTAAGTTGTTTCTCTTAGTTGCACCAATATAGTGAAAAAAAAATTCTTGTTTGTCAAGAGAGATAACTCCATGGTCTTAATTTCATTTAATTGCTTAATAATGCAACTATTTGTACAAGTGATTAGAATTTGAGTCTTTGATTCACTTCCTTAAAGTCTGTGTTGAAAAACATAAAATACATTGGATGTTTCTATTTAAACTGTTTTTAGAACACGCCACATCTGCTGGAAAATTAGAAGGCGAGTGTTGGAATGCCCTGGAAGTTGGCCTACATAATGAGATGTGGCTCAAAGGCTCGACGTCCACAAAAACAGTATTGGGCGTTTGTGGGCACGTGTCAAGGCATCTAGAACTACGAACGATAAGCCAAGAAGTAGTAGGCCTCGGATTACAACGCAGACACAAGACCAGCACATCCACCACGTCATGTCCTTGGATAAAGACCAATCTCAGCATAAAACTGACCAGCCCCAAACGTTTGATGAATTTGTGCAATTTCTGGAAACAATCTAGCAGCAGACTCCCCCAGCAGTTTATTCAAAAATTATTATTTTCTTGTGTTGAAGGTGTCAGTCATCAGCGTGGCAAGGGGCCACAGGTGGTGCTGATTTTGTGAATTTGGAAATTAGGGGGCTCAACTTGTGACGGACATTTTTGTGCAAAAATGAGCACTTCAACTAAAATTGTTAATCCTAATTTCATGACTTCTGCCCTGATGTGTGTGTCGTCTTGAAAAGGAATGGATTCTCTTTGAAAAATTTGTTTGCAAGAACAATATTTGATTTCTAAGCCCACTTTCTTTCTTATGTGAGTATATATTCAAATATGTTTAGTTGGAAGACTTATTAACATTTTTTTTTTTTTTTTTTTACTGAAATGGAAAATGCCCGACTTCCAAAATAATATGAACCAAGAGGTAACAAACATATGCGTACATCATTAACTCTTCTTCAGACCCTTGATGAGAAGGGAGTTTGGTTAAGAGATAGGAAAATCTAATCTCATCCTAAAATAAGTTTTAAACAAAACTATCTGTGAGAATTCAACTATATTCAGTCACTCACAGCTGGAGGAAACGATTCCTACTGCAAAAGTACAAGAAATACAAAACAAAAACAAACAGTTTCACTTCTCAGTTGTAGTTTAATAAACAAAAAAATGACAGAAACATGACGAATGACATTCTGGTTTTCAACGAAGTATAAACTAAGTACTTATATTTTATCTTTCAATTTCTACGAATAGAAATTTTTAAATAAATGATAGCAATAATAACAGAAAATTACACTTAATATGGTTTAAACAAAATTTTCAAAACTCCATTCCTAATATACTACATCCACTGTTAAAACACAAAGCATGACACATACTCCCATAAACCCACATCAACTGTACTAAATATAGTATTTTAGCATTTATGAGTATGGTGGTAGAAAGCACACAAATGCTCTTAATAATATCAAAGTCCCATGACATGAACCCTGTTCACAGGAACAGTAGATGAGATAGAACCTACTGGGAGTGTGCTACATCATGCATCTATGGAAAAGATCCAGGAATTGCATGTCGATCAGGATGAAACCAACAACCTGAAGAGTTTTGCCATGAAAGAAATGAACCACTTTGTCTATGATACAAAGATTAGCCTTTCCCTAATTCAAAGATATCTGGCTACAGTGTTTTGAAATAAGTCTTAGGACTTTGAAAGGACAATTTTAAAAATCTGAAACTGACCCTGGAGCTAGACATGGATCTACACTGCAACCAAAAGTGAGCTCTTCTTGGTGCAGCTACATTTAGCTTTGAGAAAATTCTGTCAAAATCAGATATTCTCCCAAGTTTCTTTGAGCATTAAGAGACTGACAAGACAGAGGGCAGTCATAGAGCTTGTCCATGTGTATTGTATGCGACAACCCCCCCCCCCTTTTCCACCCCCAAAAACCCAAACAAACAAACAACAAAACATACTCTGTTCTCACTGGCACATGCTAAAACATTACTGGATGGTACCAAACCGTAACAATATCCTAACTCAAAAGAAAAGGAAAAAACAAACAAACAACCCCCCCCCCCCCCAAAAAAAAAAAAGAGATGTAAAAATGGAACGATACAGAGGGAAATTTGCTGGTACCAGCACAGAATAAGGCATTGCATAATTATGTGTATGGAAGGAATCAAATGTAATGTCACCCAACTGCAGACATTACGCAGTGGTCACAGGCATAGTCAAGTTCACAGTATTTTCCCCTTTGTTTTTGTTCTTAGTAAAGTCCCCTATGGCCCATGTAGCATAACGTCGACCAGCCGTTAAAACGTACTGGGCCAAAAAAATACATTATAATATAGTTACTTTGCAATTGTTAAAAAATGAAAGTTTTTTCTTTCTCCTGTAGAATTCTGCTTCTTGGCTTAATGTATTTTAACAGCTTGCCAACAATGACAAATATTATGTTGGTTATTTTCTAACTTGGTCCCCGTCACAACACCGGGGATGACAAGAGATAACAAAAACAGGATGAGAACTTTATTTTGGACCCTACTTAGACACAAATCTCATTCAACCAGCAGCTGTGGCACAACTCGCAGAACATAAACACACATAACCGCTTTATCTTTCTGGATCTGTGAGGCTCTCTTTTATATCTTTAGATATTCCATTTCCCACTGGTGACAAACACAACTGCTAAGCTATCCCCCTCTTTTCCATCAAAAGATCAAACACATACCCATACACATTACCAAAAAAGAGACCAGATGAAGAAACCATTTCTCAAATAATTCAAACACAACTGCATGTTAACAAGCACAAAAAATTAAATACCCCACACTTAGCAAATATATATTATGTACCTAAAAAAACCCACATAAATATGTACCCCCCCAGAAGCTGAAGCAAAAACTTCATTTTATGGCTGGCATCAGATATTGCAAACATGCAGACACTCGATTACATTAGCTTTACTCTGTAAAGTGTTTTCATGTCTTCATTATTGATGGAACATGATCATAAAAAAGCAATTAATGGGGAGGTGAAACCTATAAGAATGATCTGTAGATGAGTAGCACCGAATAGTTGAGATGTTATTTCTTATAAAACAGACAAACAATGGTTCATTTTTAATTATGAAGTGCTTGCAAATGAAAAAAATTAAAAATCGTAACTTTAATATAAAGGCATACTGAACACAATTACTGCAAAGAAGTCAAAGCAGATCAATTAAATCTTCATGCCAGTGAAATCGATTGAAGAATTCTGAGCTAACATTTTGACTACCACTTCCACATAATGACAAATTTTACAGTGAAATTCTGTTCTTGGTCATCTCTGACCATTCTTTGTCCCTAAAAACAATTACAATGTAACTGAACCACTTTCACCTGCACATCAACAGGCCGACACTGACAGTTTAGTAATCAATATCTCCCTGAACTGAAAAAAGCCAGGAACTTTATCTCCACATGGTTAGTAGCATCCAGAAGACTTACAGCTTGGCTCCAGGCTCTCTACATTGCCAAGAATATTCAATAGGGACAAAGTCTAACCAACCAACTACTTGACAAGACACAATCTCTAAGCCTAAACATGCTATTGCACTTCACTATTATGCCATTCCACAAACTCTTTGCTTAGCTTTGGACTGGAATTAATTTAAAGATAAGCATTGCGCGTTCTAAATTCCATGAAAGACAGAGTGAGTGGACATGGTATGAGTTTTATTTTTATAAGCAGAGGGCAATAGTAATAGTATTTAGCCTAGTATAGGCCAAGGACTTGGGTTTTTTAAAAACAAATTTTTATGTCACAGAAGTGTATAGCGGTAGATTTAGTCTGCAAACTTCATCTGCATTAAGAAAGTGTATAGTCGCATGAAGGCAAGTACATATTGGCACAGGAGTCATTGTGCTTCCTCTTCAAAAGAGACTACACTCTAGGCAACAGCTTGCCAGTGTTCTATAAAATTTGGTCTGAATGAAGTTGCAGCAGAGAGTGGTGCATTAGAAGCAGAATGGTTTCTCCATTGAAGAAAAATGTCTGTTCTTGGCAAAGGTGGTAAAATAAAAATCAATGTGAAAAACCCCAAACTGCAAAACGTACCCTGTCTCCCTTGATAAAGCCTGAAATTCGTACATGGCAACTTTTTTGCATTGCGAAAAACATTTCCGCATCCAACCCCACCCATTTCACAAGTGCATGCTAGACTACTTTCACAAAATTTATCAACGACATGAATTGAGTTTCAAACTGTATATAAAAAAGAACCAACGTACAAAACACCCCTGGCACACAGTTGTCCACAAACTAGCAAAAAGGCCATAACTGACAATAGAGGACAGGGCCAAATAAGCAAGTACACAGTAAGATAACTTATTTTTAATTAAACTGTGCCATAAGATTTTTTTTCCTTCAAAATCTGAAAAAGAGAATTAGGAAGCACTGATATAGAACATTCCTTTCGTGAAATCAGAGGAAATGGGGAAAAAAATCACGAAAGCCATTTCATCTCTACCATGAGTCATTAGAAATAAATTACACTCATTACTTTTCTTCAGAGTGCTGACTCTCCCCTGCAAGTAAACAAAAATAACATGCCACAAGGAAATAAAACTAAAAGTGAATCACTCTTCTGCTATACCATGATTCATTATGTAAGACCTCCAAATTTCATAATCACAATAGAATGTCCAGGCCACTCTTCATGCCACTACGAAATGGAACACTGAAAGAACGATAACATGCAGGACACAGTTTTCAGTTGGGAATTCAATTTCAAAAGAACAATAACTCAAGGCTGTACATCATATGTTTCAATGATTGTAATTGGTTTATAATTCATAATCTCAAAACAAAATTCATTTTGCTGAGGCCACCACCAACACACACAGCTATCAAACGTTTTCAGAGAAAAGTTTTAACAGAAAAACCCCATCGCCGCCAAATATGATTGTAAAAATTACAATCTTTTTGTCTGTACTACTCATCAGCATTCAAACAATTTCAACAAACATCACCAAAACAAACCCATGTAAAGAAGCATCAAAACCTTCATAAATTGCAATAATATTTGAAAATATTTATCAGGTATACAGCCAAACGAGAAAAAAACCCAAACAACAACCCCAAAAAACAAAAAGCCATACAAGCAACATGATGATAATGATTAGTTATATACACAATTTCATTGCATTGCTGCAGCTGATGAAGCACACAAAAAGTTGGAGCTTGCAACCATAAACTGGTTAACGTAACAAGATATATGTAAATATATACAATCAACCACGTAAAATTTAAGGAAAAGGAAAAATATTGGTGAATATGGTAGTGACTGGATACAATTTGAACACAGCAGAATGGAAGGTATAATCACGGTATGGAGAAACAGAAGGATGCCCATGGTGCACAGTCAGATGGACAGATCCTCATCCTCCTTCTTCCTTGTGTCTCACAAACTCTCACACGATCTTTCCATCTTTTACTTTTCACTGCACCACGCTTCTCTTAGCCTCTCATTACTTCAAACTGATCCATCTAATACACTGAATCAAGCTTAAATCAAACCAAAGCATATACCCACAGAAAAAAAAGTAAACAACACAAACCTACCAACACATTTCAGCAGTACTCAAGAGTTTCCAGATTAATCTATTCCTGAGGCAGAAAACATACCAAAAAAATCCCAAACAAAAATACCTAAAAAAACAACAAACAACATGTAAAGATTCTGGAGGGAACAAATGAAGTGACAGACTTTTACGTAACACAGTTGTTGCCTCGCCTCCTCTGGCTACCATCTTCATTCACACATATACAACAAGTTCAAGGCCACAACTCACTTATAACAATAACTTGAATAGCTCGAAATGATGACGTTAAAAAGGTTACACAACACCAACACTGCCTGTATTGATGAATGACAAAAAAGCAACCCTACTCAACGTGGAAAACATATTTGAGAAAAGAAAGCCAAATAAAAATAAAACATTGGAGACATTAAAAGTAAGTCCTGAAAAGCTTCAAAACTTATTAGATTGAACAAAGATAATAATATACTGACATACTTCAGTCTTTTTTAAATCTAATCTCATTCTAACTTTTCATTTTGATATTTTGATGGAGAAATCAAGCTAAGGCTTGGCGTCAGTGGCTTAGTGGTTAGGCTCTCGGACTCGTAACCAAAAGGTTGTTGACTTGACATTGCGTCCTTACAAAAGGTATTTTACATGAATTTTCCTCACTTCACCCAGATGAGAATGGGTATCTCGTTATAGACAGTGAAAGATCTTGTCTGTTAGTATTGAACACTTAAATAAAATCAGCTGCTTGCACTGTATGCTTCCAAGGAAGCTGTGAATGTTTCCGAGTCTTCTAGGGTCTGCTGAGGTAATAATAATGTAATGCACATAGAGCTTGCTCGTGAGTGGGGATATGCCCTATACAAAATATGCTACTCATTATTATTATTAACTTTTACAAAGATGTTCATAGCAGTTAGTGATTCTCATATCTCACCCAACAGTGGCACAAAAGAGCTCACAAAATATTATATTAATACCAGCTGCAATGGCTGAAGACTGCTTTATCTCACTGTATCTGACTCAAGAAATATAGTCTGCCCAGGAGGACAACTTTAAGCCTGATTCACCACACAATGTCTATCAATGGCTTCTCTTAAAAAAACACTCAAATCTCAAACAAGCAAATGTCATAGATGAAAACTTGTAACTCAACTCACCACATACATACCACTTTTTTTTTTCACTTTAACATTGCTAAGTCAACAAAGTGATTAGAACCACACTTGGGTGTCCCTGTCACTTTAAACAACCCAGTAGTCACAGAAGTAATACCAAGGACTGAGAAATTTTGCCACTAGCCACCACCTGACAAAATATGAATTTCCTCTTATTCTGTATACACTCTAGCAATGTTGAGGAATAAGAAAAAAATTATAGGGCCTGCAACATTCTTTTCAAATGACGTGTAGTTTTAAATTGTGCCCATCCTGAAAATTTTAACAATGTGTATAGTCCTTGAAAAGAAGAAAGGCTTCCCATTTAACCACACTCTGGACTTTGGTATAGTCCATTATTAGTTGACCTAATACTTTTCTTCGAGTTCAGCATTGATTATCCTTGCTGTCTTATGAAAGGTGTCACACTAGGCAACTTTACCATCGTCGTTCAACCATGGGAGAGTTTTGTGTCTACATGAATACATTTCACAACATGAAGCAGAGACATGTCGCTTCGAGTGCTGGAGGGAATACATTTATCTGCCAACAGAAGGACTATGCCTTGCCAAAAATGCAGATGCATAGATATGGACGCAAGCAGGAAAGAGGGGTGTGTTGAGCAGTCAACATCATCTTCACCACGCAGCTTCACCTGACGTAAATAACACAAGTCTACAACACTCTCCTCAAACGTTCGCAGAATCCATCACACACGAAATACGAGACTTTACTTGGTACAGCTGGCCTTGAGCTTGTCAATGATATTGCACAGTTTGACCACCGGGCCCAGCTTGAGACCCATGTACTTGAGCATCATCTCACTCTTCAGCAGCAGAAATGCCTTCCCATCTATCTCCTGGAAGGGAGGAAAGAAATTGGGATGGGTAAAAAAAAGTTTATTCCTGAGATAGAAAAACATAAAACATAAACCTAACATAAATAAGTAATACAGGGAAGGAAGAAAGAACAGAAAGACTCTTCTCATGTATTATCTGCCTTACCCAGTCAGGAAACTGCCTTCATGTATACTTACTCAGCACAGTTGACATTCATCTGAAAACTATAATCTGAAGAACCAGACTCCTTACTAGTACTAAAAATGATGGCACCATGTGGCTGATAGACAGGAAAATAATACACAATACTCAAGTAGCCTGTACTAAATGACAGAAAAAAAAGGCTTAACACACAATACATGTGAAAATGTGTTATAGTAAGAGCCACAACAGAATTCAGAATTCACACAGTGCACCATAACTCCCC